AAACTGAAGTTCCGGACATTGTATCATTCTATAATGGTTATGCTTGGAAAACTTAGCCAAGTAATTTTTAACATTTTTTAAGTACGATGGTTTAAACTGGAGATTCCAAGTAAGGGGTTGCAAATGAAGGAAATATGATGAATCTCTTCTTAGGCTAATCCGCACTATGATGCTGATTTGTACAAATTTTTAGATGAAAGCAGCATCCTGTATTTAGAGGCCAAAGTTTGGACTAGTAGAAATGATTTGTGTATGTGCAAAATAAATCACCAATATGTGGGTTCTCCAAAGGTTAACAAAGGGCAATTCTTCATTATGTGGTTCCTTTAAATTGAGTCATATTTCAATTTTTTTCAAATTGTGCAGTTGAATCACATGTTCAATCACCTTAGTTCATAAATCAGTTTTTAATTAACGGAGAGTATTACAAACTATTTATATAGGTCACGTCAGAGGTTTTGAAAGATCCTGGCCGAAGGTATCACATATCTCACTTCTTGCTTGATCCATAGCCGTGGGATTCCCTTGCTAGAGATGCTTTAAGCTCAACTTCAATGGGAGCTTAAAAGCAAATATGGGCCAAAGTTGAAGCCATGTTTAATCAATGTATATTATACTGGCAGCTACATTGCATCAGCAATTATTGATAATGATCATGTTAGGAACAAAGAAATTTGGACAGAACTCTCATTGATTAGAAGTAATGATTAATCAGATTCATACAGATGGTTGGTTTGTACAAATTACATGACACCCCTGTGCAATATTTTGACAAAAGTACCCTCAAACTAATTAACCAATTACACAAACTACAATCCAAGATTAATTTACATCTTAACCCCCACCCCCTGCCCACGCTGGTGAGCGACAAGTAGCCCACAAAATAATCATGTTGCTCTTTAGTAAGTGCTTTGGTAAATACATGGCAAGTCAACTGTCAGGGGAAATATAAGGGAGAGCAAGAAGGCGATGAGCAAATCTTTCTCGAATGGAATCGCACTCAGCCTCGACACAATTGGTGGCAATCCTGATCGCACTAATATTATCCCCATGGAGAGGCGTAGGTGATGAAGGAGGGACACCTAAATATGAGAGAAGCATGTGAATCCACAGAATCCCATCAGAGGTAAAAGACATAGCATGACATTCAGCTTCCTCAGTTGCTTTAGAAACAACATTGTTTCTTGCACCGCCAAGAAACAAGTATACCACCAAGAGAAATACAACACACGGTAGGCAATCTGTGAGTGTCTAGAGAGCCAGCGTAGTGTGAGTCAGCAAATGCAACTAGCTGAAGATCAAAGGATGCTGAGAGAGAGAAAACAATCATGTATGTACCAAATACATAGAATGATGTGATGCATAGCAACCGTATGAGTTGGGGAACGAATCTGTGTAAACTGGCTAACAGAAAAAACTGCATAACTGATATCTGGACTGAAATTAGTGAGATATTGCACTGCACCAACTAACTGCTAGTATGGACTGGATTGGTACCGGGTCCCCATTAAATAAAGATAACCAAGTATTAACTTTTTGTTGGGTGTCTACAATCTTAGATTCAGGGAGTTTGGCTTTGGAGATAAAATCATAGGATATATTTATGCTGAATAACAATTATCTTTTGAGCAAACTGAGTAATCTCTAAGCCAGGAATATATGATAAAACTTCATGTCATCATTTAAACTGACTGTAAACTACGTCTTATATGAGAAATACTATGCTTATCATCGCCTGGAAGTACAATGCAATCGACATAGACAAGCAATCTGAATGGCACAAAAATGAGGAAGAACCTGGAGGACATACTACCCTTCCAATCTGAATGGCACAAAAAGAAGGAAGAACCTTGAGCACACTGAGTGAATGCCCCTTGAGTGACAACTAGTCTAAAACAATCAAACCATGCTTGAGGAGCTTTCTTGAGGCCATAAATGGCTCTATTAGGCTGACAAACTAAACTAAGAGGGACCATATATCCTGGTGGAGGATGCATATAAAACAATGCCATTAGGAAAAGCAATCCTCACGCTCATTTGATGCAAATTGCAATGTCTCAGTCCCAACTGACCAATAAACGAAAAGTCAATTGCCTGCCCGCCTAGGCAGACATTTTCAAAAAACACCAAGGCGTGGTCAAGGCAGACTATATTAGGCAGAAAAAGCTAGGCGCCTGCCTAGGCGGTGTAAAAGGCAGGCGCCTAGGAGCCGCCTTGAAAATATTGTAATTAATTTATAATTATTAATTTGTAATTTGCATGTAATGATAATGATTAATTTATTGGTAAACCAAAAGATAGTATTTCGTAATTATTAATTTATCGAAAATGCTTTTTGCATTTAACATTAATTATTAATTTATTGATCAATCAAAAGATAGTATTAATTCATAATTATTAATTTATCGAAAATACTTTTTTGCATGTAACATTAATTATTCATTCATTGGGAAATCAAAAAAATAATATTAATTCGATATTATTAATTTATCGAAAATGCCTTTTGCATATGATAGTAATTAATTTTTTAGGAACCCAAAAATAATAATTACAAAAAATGCTTTTTGCATGTAACATTAATTATTAATTTATTGAAAAACCAAAAAAATAGTATTAATTCATAATCACTAATTTATCAAAAATTCCTTTTGCATATGAAAGTAATTAATTTATTGGGAACCCAAAAATAATAACTACAAAAATACTTTTTGCATGTAACATTAATCATTAATTTATTGAGAAACCAAAAAACTAGTATTAATTCATAATTACTGATTAATCAAAAATACCTTTTGCATGTGATAGTAATTAATTTATTGAGAGCCCAAAAATAATAACTACGAAAATATTTTTTGCATGTAACATTAATTATTAATTTATTAGGAAACCAAAAAAATAGTATTACTTCGTAATTACTAATTTATCGAAAATGCCTTTTGCATGTGATAGTAAATTAGTAATTAATTTATTGGGAACCCAAAAATAATAACTACGAAAATATTTTTTGCACGTAATAGTAATTATTAATTTATTGATAAATCAAAAAAATAGTATTAATGCGTAATTATTATTATATAATATATACAATAAATGGGGGTAGGTGTTGGGGATCCAACTTAAAAATAAATAAATAAATACTATAACCACCTTAGCGCCTAGGCAACCGCTTCCGCCTTCTTGAACATTGCAACTGACAAAATAACACGACCTAAAGTAATTTTGACGATCAGAGCAATTGCTTCCCATAGTCGAGACC